CATCATCATCATCATCATCATCATCATCATCATCATCATCATCATCATCATCAGCATCATCATCATCAGCATCATCATCAGCAGCATTAGCATCATCAGCATCAGCATCATTATCAGCAGCAGCAACAACATCATCGTCATCATCATCATCACCATCATCATAATCATCATCATCACCATCATCAACATCATCATCCTCATCCTCATCATCATCATCATCATCATCATCACCATCATCATCCCCATCATCATCATCATCATCACGAATACTTTGTCCAAATCATTCCAGCTGTCGTTTTATCTATGTACTGTACTTCAAGCAACCGCTTCTTGCAATTATATTCCCCTCCATCTGGAAAAGACCAAAAGACAATGCGCTTAAATTTCAACTGTGTCGATGTTAAGACTTAAACTCAAACTGCAAACACGACTAGAGGAAGACACCGTAACCTTAGGGCCAAAAACATAGGTGACTGTGCCATGACAGCCAGAGATTGAATGACGGTTGTTGGTATTAGGTTTACTTTGAGTATTATGCTATATAAGTATATAATCGTATTCAATCATTTACATTATTCATTCATTTTTTTATCAGTGTGTTGTGTATAATTGGTTCCCTTTTTGATTAATTGTGTATTTTATTATATAATAATTCGATTATTTAATTATGTGATTATTTCATTCATTGATTTTTTTTTCTTTCTTTCTTTCTTTTTTTCCTCTCTCCCTTCCTTTCTTTCTTTCATTCTTTATATTGTGTTCTCGGTTGATTTTGCTTCGCACGTATTGCTTTTTAATTATGTATTGTACATTTTTTCTCCCCAATCTGTCTATGTGTATGCGTGTATATGTCTGTCTGTCTGTCTGTGTCTGTTTGTCTGTCTATGTGTATGTCTGTCTGTCTGTGTATGTCTGTGTGTGTGTCTGTTTGTCTGTCTGTTTATCTGTCTGTCGTCTATGTCTGTCTGTGTGTGTCTGAATGTGTGAATGCCTGTATATGTCTGCCTGTCTATGTGTTTCTGTGTGTGTGTGTGTGTGTGTGTGTGTATGTGTGTGTGTGTGTGTGTGTG